ACTTCTCATCCAGGTAAATGACAAGAGGAGGATGAAAATAGATGAAACAAAACATACTAAGCCAAAAACAAACAAAGAAAAAAAAAGCATTAAAAGAAATAAATAGGGATATTTAAGTTGGTTTTTTTTTTTTTTGATATGATATTGGGGAGTGAACCTAGGTTTGCTCTACCATAAAGCCACAACCCCAGCCCTTTTAATTATTTTGAAACAGAGTCTCACTAAGTTGCTGAGGCTGGTCTCAAATTTGTGATCCTCCTGCCTCAGCCTCCCAAGTTGCTGGGATTATAGGCATGTGCCACTGCACCCAGCTAGGGCTATTTAACTTTAAGGAAAGGCCCAATGCATACAAGAAACTGTAACAGTAACAAATATGAACATTTTTGCACCTAAATGCAGAGCTTGGAAACACATGAGACCAACAMGGATCCACAGATCATCTGTGGTCACCTCGAAGGCAATAACCYCAAAGGCAGCCAATCACACAGACAGTGATGAAGGTGGAGATACTCTGAGTGACCCCAAAGTAGGCTCAGGGGAAGTAAACGATGTACTTATACCCCAAATAATACTGGAAGAAAATTATTAAAATATGAACAGGAGGTAGTTTTGGAGTAGAAGGCTAACCATGTTCTTTTCTCTTTCTTTTCTGTATTTTTTCCATAATGAACATACTTTCATAACAGAAGAGAAAAAAGTTGCTGTCCAAAGAGAATAAAGGGCTATATCACAGAGCAATGAGCACAGCATTTTGTCACATGTGCTGGACTCAGTGCAAATGAGTCCTGCAGCTGTGCACAGCAGTCACAGGAGAGGCAGGGAGAATCAAGCTGCCAGCCCACAGGAAGCTCACCTTCCCACTCCACACCAGGGGAGTACACTCTGGCCCCTTTCGGACCTGGGCCAGGTTTTCCTCTCCTGCAGTCCAGGGAGGGAATTTATAGGCCCAGAGGGATTCAGACATCTGTGCTCCAGTCTACAGAACCACTAACCTTCCTGGAAAGGAAGCAGACAGAGCGCCATGCAGACGTCGGCCTGTCCCTTCCCCGACATCCACAAATGCAGCCTTTGTACTGTGGCCCAAGCCCCCAGCCCATATGGGTTCAGGGAGGCAAGACAGAACAAATCCTGCTGTGTGCTCCAAGGACCACTCACATTTGTGACGGGGCTTTTTGTYTTTTGAGGGAGGCTGCCAGCCCAAAGCTCTCCTAATATCCTCCTGGGATAACTGCTCTCCCAAGGAACCAGAGGAAGACCTACTAAGTGTTCCTGTATTGATGAAAGCACTGTGTTCAGGCCTCAATTATCTCTTAGCCTACAATGAAAAGGAACCTGACTTGAGAGACATAATTGGATATCCAAAGGGATCCATAAACATCTAAGATGCCAGGAGCCAGGGAAAAGGAATTCTGCAACAGAAAATCAAGCTGCTCCATGACAGCCCCAAGTCATTTTTGGAAGAGAAAAGGCATAAATAATATATACATGTGGGTGAGGATGAATGGTTGCTTAGAGGCTCAGGCAGCCCAGACTTTCCTGATTTCTCTTTCTTCCCTATTAGAAATGTYCTGGAGCTCCAGACAAACTGCGGAAGGATATGAAATTGGTTTACTGAACATCCCTGTGAGGCCTGCTTGTCCTCCTTATCCTTCCTGTTCCTCAAGCTATGTTAGCATCTACACCCAGTCTAGCCGCTACAGTAAAGTCAGGGAGCAGTTACTGGGATGCTAGGACTGAAAATAATGCTGCAGAATGCAGAATGGAAATAATGTTGGACTGCGGGCCCCAAGGTGAGCTGCAGAGATACCTAGTGGGCAAGATGGCATTCTCCACGCTTCATGGATCATTTGTGGACATGCTGTGTAAGGCTGACTACAACCCACAGGGCACATTTTCTATTCACTGACCTCTCCACCCCCACCAGGACACACTTGAGAATAAACATGTTACTYAAGTACTTTTTGTGTCTTTATGCATAACTATATGAATAACTGTTCTATTTCTGCCAGGTTGTTTCTGTCCCATATGTACAGCTAGAGTCAGCAATTCATCATATTTGAAAAAAGTAAATAGAAAAATTCCTTTGCCAAAAAAGAAAAAGAAAAAAAAAGACTTTGAAGCTTTGAAAACCAATTTTTACATTTCAGTTTTCCCTCGGGCCTGGCTTTCTCATCCTTGCTTGGTCTTAGTCTACTGGATTTCAGACATGATTTCTTTCTTTCCCAATTCTCCAGGTCAATGCAAATTTCCAAGGTGATCAAATATTTTCTCTAGTATTTACTGAGTAGGATCTCCAAAAACAGGAGAAAAGAAATGAAGATTTCCTGAGAAGCCAAAAGAAAGACAGTGAGGGCAAGATATGGAGGATCTCAAAGCAATGTATCATCAGAGCTGGGCTGCAGTGGGAGACACAGAAGCTGCTTTTCCTAGGAGCATGAATACAAAAGTCTATAGTTCAGGCAAAGCGATGATAGCAAGTGAAGCAAAGGGATCAGTATTAGAAGGAGAGTGGGGGAACATCCGTAGGTGACAGGTGGCTAGTTACTCCGGTCCAACTCATTATTGCCACATGGGAACCTAAGCCCATCTCTGCCATGAATCTACAAGAAAGCAACTCCATACAGAACAGAGCAACAGGAAGGCAGGAAGAAGAATATGGTGCTTGGTGAGGTCTTATTCTGTGCCTGTGGAATGAATGAGGACCTCCTGGGCACAGGGTGGGACATTCTGGGGGAAAACAACAGGAAGAGATGGCCAGTGATGGGGACGTTCCGTAATCAAGAGAAGAAATTGTTACAGTGTGAACCTGAATCACAGTCACTAGGATGCAGAAGAAATAGTCAAATGCAGAAGAAGGCTAAAGAATTACCAAAAAGCAGAACTCAGTGAAAGACCAGACATGAATCAGGTGGTGATGACTCTTCCAGGGGAAGCTGATGGCAATGAGCTTGTCCAGTGGGGCTCAGAACTGGTCATAAAAGAGAGCAGGTAAAGACATCCTTCTTCACTAGTTTTTCAGTCCTTCATCTGGCTCCCCAGTTGACCTTATTCTCTTTTTCTCTGTTCTTCCATAAAAAAAGATCAGGGTGTAACTAGGGGCCCAGGGGACTAACCACTGAGAGAAACAGAGCCAAACCTACAGCAAATTAGGTGATGAGGGATTCATTTGGGAGCAACTGTTGGCACAGTTAACAGAGGAATGGGCACCAAGGGGATGAACTCTGGAGAGGGATAGCATCTATAGGAAAGTGGCAGGAACAGAATGGGCTCTGTGGAGTCATGATATATTGGCTAAACTGTGAAAAAGCACGGACAGAAATTGGGTAAGGAAGAACCCCAAAGAGTTCTCAAGTCATGGATCTTTGTCACATCAGACATGTCTGGGGTTCTGGTTCACAATTTTCTTAAGGATGCAGAAAGCAAGGATAATATTGCCAAGCCAAGGTATTTGGGAAAAAAAGAATGGCTCACTTGAAATGGTTCAGCTATATTGGGTGAGCCTTTTCATGGCATGATTTCTGTGGGCTTGAGTTTAAAAGAGGACACTTGGGTCTAAGGCCTTAGATAAATCTCAATTTTCACTTTAAAAAATAAACTTCATCAGGAGTTTAAGAATAACTACAGCTGGGCATGGTGGCACATGCCTATAATCCCAGCAGCTCAGGAGATGGAGGCAGGAGGATAGAAAGTTCAAAGCCAAACTCAGCAACTTAGAAAGGTCCTAAGCAAGTTAGTAAGACCCTGTCTCAAAAGATAAAAGAAACCTGGGCTAAGGATGTGGCTAGTGGTTAAGCACCCTTGGGTTCAATCCCCAGTACAGAGAGAGAGAGAGAGAGAGAGAGAGAGAGAAATAACTACAAACACTCATTAACTAAAAAATTACTATAGTAACCAATATTTACTACTGAATTAATTAGTAAATTATTATTATTATTAAAGAGAGAGAGAAATTTTAAAAAATATTTTTTAGTTTTCGGTGGACACAACATCTTTATTTTATTTTTATGTGGTGCTGAGGTTTGAACCCAGCGCCCTGCGCATGCCAGGCGAGCATGCTACTGCTTGAGCCACATCCCCAGCCCCTAATTAGTAAATTATTGATGGCTAACACAGGGCCAAAGCACYATAGGAGACCCTTTGAATATACTGTCACATAAATCTTTACAACGATTTTACAAAGGAGCTGGTGACATTGTGGCAAAATTTATCCATAAGGAATAAAAGCGAGAACTAGAGATGTTAAATTACTAGCCCAAGGTGACAGTCTTTCAGTGAGGCAACTAAGATCGGAGCCAAGGTACTTCCACTCCAGGGTCTAACCCAGGGATCAGCAAACATTTTCTGTGAAGGGCCAGATGGTAATTATTTTTGGCTTTGTGGGCAATATGGTCTCTGTCACAACTATTCAACTCTGCCATTGGGGTGCAAAGGCAATCACTGAAAAAGTACAGATGGGCATGACTGGGTTCCAACAAAACTTTACTTATAGATAATGAAATCTGAATTTCATATAGTTTTCATATATCAAGAAATACCATTCTTCTTTCCTGCTCCTCTCCAAACATTTTAAAAATAAAGCCACCCTTACCTCATAGGCCATAGAAACAAAACCCAGGTGGCAGACTACATTTTTTCCACATGCTGCAGTTTGCTGACCCTGCCACCAGGTTCTGTTATGAGTCACCCCCCCGCCCCCCCCAGCTCATATCATGTGCTGGGTTTCTTTTGAGCACATACATAGTTTAGGACAAAACCTGTAAGAGAACATCTAGATGCAGCATATGCCTTGGAAATACAATCGTGAGGAAAAATACAAGAGAAATGGTTCTGACTCTGCCTGACTTTAGATTGCAACTTGAAAACACTTTTCTTCCTTTCTGCCCTCTCATCTGTACTCTTCTATTGAGACAAGCATTGAATTTGGTCAGTCTGAAAGCAGGGGAAAATCTGGGTAGTATAAGGATGCCCCTTTCTACAGAAAACCACTGTGTCCATCTTACCTGCAGAGTTTGGCTGAAGCGTTTTAATGGGGTGGCCTTCACGGGTGGGATGAGGTTTGCCAGAGATGTGACTCTGGAAAGGGGCTTGACCCGTTTATTACTAGGTTCCTGTAAGGGGGAAAAAAAAAAGGAAAATGTCAAGGTCAATTCTGAAGACAACCTTATTCTACCACACAATCATGTCCTTCTTCATAAGCTGCTGGTTGCACACTAAATTGTGGAACATCAAAAATGCCCTGTCTTACTCCAGCTCTGCAGAGGTGACCTAGCTTAGGAGCCAGGAAAGGATAAATGACAGGGGATGTCAACAGAGGCAGCTTCTGAGAGAAAAGCACAGGGCAGGGATCTCCTTTTTCCTCACCCACAGTATCTGCCAGCTTTTTATTTGGAAGCCTCCACTTTGTAAAATCATCTTTCCTACTCCTGTAGAGAAAAGTGACCTCTGATTTCCCATTAAATGACCTTGTTAGGCAGGTGTCTTTTGTTGCTTGTGGTTTCATCTTTTTTACAAACCATCTCTCCATTTCCCCTAAAGCTACTCTTCTTTTTCAAAGTGGTCTTTCAAAAGCACAAAGATTGCTTTTCTTAATTCACTAAGTTAAAAATCTATTTTTTAAAAGAAAGGAAGTTTTATTGCTGGGATCTTATGAAAAGTATCTTTATATTTACAATGTATTTAAATGCATTATTTAAATATTAATACTCATAAATATAAACCTAATTGCAAAAGAATATGTACAAGGAGAAAATTGTACCATGGGCATTCCTTTCTATACTATTTATAGCCACAAATTTTGAACATCCCTCCACAGAAAATGCTATTTGCAAATCTGCAAGTTACTCCCAAACTGGACGATGGGCGAGAGACAGCCTACCCATCCCAACGACTTTAAAGACAAGAATTACATAAATAAAAACAGCAGGCTGTGGGGAACAGAGAGATGAAAGACAAAACATTTTCCAAAGACAAAGAGAACAGTTTACCCTTGTCTTCCTAAGCTCCATCTGACCTGCAGTAGATGCTGGACAGCACATGAAGACACCAGATTTTGATGGAAAAAGCCAAAGTAGCCAATTGTGGCAGACCTCAGTCATTTGCAGAGGGAGCCCCCAGGTGCTCATCTTTCCTTTTCAGCCATTGCTTTCAAAGTTTTGAGGGGTTAAACCAGAACTTCTGATTCTTCAGGACATCCCTGCAGAATATTCTGAACATAGCAGGTGCTTGGAAAAATCCTTTGTAAATCTGGAATTCTGCTGAGAAGCTCTCCTGTCATTTTATGCCCTTGCCAGCCTCAAAAAATTGTAAGTCTTCTCTGAAATAGACTGTCCCTGAGTTCTATGGTATTTAAATAGAAAAATTCAAAATTTTAACCCTCTCAAAAGTTCAAAACACTTCCACACTGTGACTAAGAATGACTTCATAATTTCTCAAAGCAGTCAGATACTTTTCTAAGAGAGAATGAATCTGGGCTGCCGGGGACCTCCCTGGCTTCTTGGCATGCAAAGTTGAACAGGCAGTAGAAAACTCTCAGACCACCAAGAAGGCTTAGTTCCAAAATGTGACAGAGGAATCTTCCAACATAAGAGACACTGTGTTACAAAGATGTAAGTATTGAAGAGAAAGGTCTAACAGTCTTTCTTTCAGCTGACAGTGCCATTCAGGATGCTCTCTGTCTGGTGTCTGGCTCCTGAGCATCTGCGCCTAAAAGACGACTTTTTTTTTTTTTTACGTCAGAGCTGCACCACCAGCATTGAATCCACGCATGCGCGCGCGCGCGCACACACACACACACACACACACACACACACACACACCCTCTTAAGCATCCCCTGAATTTCTCTAAATGGCTCATATTTTGGTTTGGAAATGCTAAGATCATGATATCTCTACCTTTGGTGGCATAAACTGCATTTGGCATAAACTGCATTGCAGCAATTGAGAAGGCAGAGGATTCCCTGGGGTAGCAGGACTTGGTCTCAGATAATCCTATATGTACTTCAGAGTCCAGAGCCTCTGGTTCTCATTTTTGTGGCTGAAGTTGTTGGGTCACAAATTCTGTATCAGAATGGAGAGGTTGAAAGGCAAATAGCAGCTAGTTTTTTTTTTTTTTTTCTTTAAAAGGGGACAAGAAGACGCTGCATACTTGGCAGGTTGAGGGATGATCCAGTTCTGTTCCACCTGCTGTGTCATCTTTTCTAAGGTTCTGCTGACTTTGCTGCCCATTTCACAAAACCCAGTCAGATGGGCATTAGCTAAGTAGCTATAAAGATATATGTATGATGCAACTGTGGACTCCTCTGAAGGTTCAGCACAGTGTTGCTACACAAGATTCTAAACTAAAACTGCTTTCCTGAGGCATTGCCCATTTGCAAGTGAACATCAGGCTGCTATCTGGTAATCTTAAATTCTCAAGTAAAGAAGGACTGAACCAGAATCCATTGCTATCATCCAGCAATACAGGCAGGTGTAAGTTCAAAAACAGAACACTTACAGGTTATTGGATCTTTGTAGGGGGAGCTTTTTGCCTGACCCACGAGTGAAGTATGAATTATGGTGTTCTCCTTGAGGGCTTCTGTGAAACTAGGAGATTAAGAGAAATTCTTGGCCTAATTTGATTTTTCTTTTCCATTTACTCAGTATGTCTCCAGCTACATTTTACTGCTGTCTAAAGAGAGCCTTCAGGGAAAATGTTTCCAGATTCTAGATAAATAGCTCTACTGAGAACTAGCAAATGCAATACCAGGGATGCTTTCAGGCTTTGCAGAGAGACAACAGAACAAAACCTACAGAGAGGCTTCCTAGTCCAACAACTAAAGCTACCAGATCAAATTGGGCAAGGTCAATGCCTACCCTAGGAACAAGATGTCCTGTTTCAAGGGCACACACCAGCTCGACCACATTATTTTAAGAGAGGGCAGGAGGGCATATCACTAAAGAGGTTAAAAAAAAGATAAAAAAGCAATGAATATTCTCTGTAGGCATTATTTCATGAATAACAATAGTTTTGTTTCATATTTTCTAGATTTTAAGACATTTGTTTTTCTTATCTTATTGCACTGGCTGGAGCCACCTGTATGTTATTGATTATAAGGCAAGATAGTGAGTGTACTACTCTGATTTCTAATACTAAAGTGATTATTATTTAAGATTTCATCATTATATATTATGTTTGCTGAAAGAATGGAAGAGTCATTGTTTATTGAGAAGGGATAATTCTCTCTGTACCAAGTTTGCCATGAATTTCTATTATAAATTGGCATTGACTTTTTTTTTTTTTTTTTTTTGGTGGTGCTGGAGATTGAACCCAGGGCCTTGTGCATGTGAGGCAAGCACTCTACTAACAGAGCTATATCACCAGCCTGGCCTGGCATTTGACATTTATAAAAAAAAAAAAAAAAAAAAAAGGTTTTTTTTTTTTTTGTCTATTCAGAGAGCAGGGAAGCTGGGAAAAAGAGGAAGAAACTAAAAGAAGGGAAATGTGGCAAAAAGGGAAAGAGAATGAAGAAAGGCATACAGGTAGAACTGATCCAGCAATTTAAAATACATCTTAGGGTTACAAACAAAATGGATTTTGATATTCCTTCTGAGAAACAATGATTTTTATATTTTCCTCCAAAGAGGTAAAAACCAAAACAAATTGATTGTAACATAAGAAAATGTTTACCACATGCATATGACCTGGCATATTTCTTCCTTCAAAAATAGTTTCAATGAAATAACTATGATATTAATGAGGAAACCCTCACTAATTTCCTTTGTTTTTTTGCAGCCATAGTGGGGTTGGAATACTAGGAAGATGATCCATGTTATGTCTGCAGCTGCCCTGAGACTCTACCTTCACTGGGCTACAGATACGGCCCAGGAGGGGCTGGAAACGGAATCATGTGCATAGGGAATTAGACTGCTGTACTGCAAGGAAGAAGTGAGAACTGACTGAGTCAGTAGACATTTTACCCATGAGTTGATAGAGTCATATAAAATAGCCTTTCAAACACTTGGAAATATTAGGGAATCCTTTATAGGACTCTGTGTAGGCTGGAAACTACCCTCCCAAGGGTTTGTCTAATGTACCTCGTCACCCTATAGGTGGCTTTCACTATCTTCATATGAAATAAGAAGTTATAGTCTCACAGTGACTGAGAAACTTTAGCTTAAATAAATAATAATAATTTAATACTGGCCGTAGTAACTTATCTCAGTGCTTGACATATAAAATATATTAGTTTACTCTTGCCATTATCCCTACAATTTAACTACTGTTATGATTCCCATTCTCAAGATGAAGAAACTGACACATGGAGTGGTCAACTTGCTTAAAGTCATTAAACTTAAAAAAAAAAAAAAAAAAAGGTGAGCAGGATTTAAAGCCAAGGCAGCGTACTCCAGAGTCTATGTCCTACACCAGGCCTAGCTTTATCTGTGAGGGGCCAGAAAGTAAGTAATTCAGACTTTGTGGGACATCCAGCCTGTCACAACTACTCATCTGTGCTGTCAGTCATAAACAATAGGTAAAATTATGAATGTGGCTATAGCCCATTATACCTTTATTTACAGACATGCAAATCAAATTTCAGAATATTTTCATGTCAAAAATATGTATCCTTCTTTTTCACCTATTTAAAAACAGAAACTCTTAGCTTAAGGCCCATAGGATGTATGCTGTATTTGGCTTGGGGTCACCCAAAGACAATATATATAGAAGCCTCACTCTCACACATAAGCTAGATTTGCATATTCTCCCTGGGGCTGGGCATGCAGGCTCCTCTCCTGATGATCAGGGGATATATATGACTTTACTTTTTGTATGAGTGAACCTTATCCTCCTGCATTTTATCCTCTTAATTTTCTAAGCAAACCAGTCCAAACAAAACACCAACGTTCCCTGATCATTAACATGTACAAATAGAACATATTAAGAAATGACATGATGCCTGGGATTTACTTTAAAATAAAACAAAGTTGGGGTAAGGGGATAGGGATTGATTACAGGTCGATAGATGTCAAAACCAGGTGTACCACACAGAGGACTCAGTAAGCAATCCCACCTATGGTACAAGCCAAAATTCTCCATGGTAGGAAGTATTTTCAAAATTTTTGTGGTACTGGG